AAAGGCCACAAGGCCAGTTCACATGCAGAGCTATATATATAGAACAAGACAAGCAACACAGTGATCAAAACCTAGCAAGCAAGCAGCGATATATATAAATCACAGTACAAAGAAAGTCAAGCAGTAAGCAAATGAGGTAATGTGGACACAAGGCCTAACGCAGTACAGTGCCGCTGATGATCACTAGGCGGAAGCGCCTTGGTGAAGACATCAGCAGTGTTGGCCTTCGAGTCCACGTACACAAGACGAAGCTGACCACGCTGCTGCAGCTCTCGAGCAAGAAAGTAGCGAAGAGCAATGTGCTTCGTTCTGTGCTCCAGTCTGTGCTCCTGACACAAGGCAAGGGCCGCCTTGTTGTCTCCGTACAGAACTGGAGGAGAACTAGGCCGCTCTCCCAAGTCAGTCAGCAGGTAGGTGAGCCAGCGTAACTCCTGTGCAGCCATGGCCGTGGCGTAGATCTCAGCCTCACAACTAGAGCTGAGAACAGAAGAAGAGCGGGTGGACCGCCAAGAGACAGAACCAGAGCCAAGGCTGAAAGTGTAACCCTGTGACGACCGCTGCGTAGCCAGGTCGTCCACCCAAGAAGCGTCTGAGTGACCAGTGAGGGCAACTCTGTCGCGTCCTCCAAGCACGAGCCCCATGCCTGATGTACTGCACAAGTAGCGCAGCACCCTCTTAGCAGCCTCCCAGTGCTCTCGCCTGTGTCTCCCAGGCGCAACGTAACGAGCAAGGATGCTAAGAGGGTACGCGAGGTCAGGTCGCGTGCAAGTCATCAAGTACATGAGGCAGCCTACAAGCTTTGGGTACGGGCCACTCGGCTCTACGGACTCGTCCGAAGGTGGAGCTGAGAGCGAGTGACTGGTAGCCAGAGGTGTGGCCTGTGGTGAGGAGAACTGGAAGCCGAAGCGCTGAAGGACCTGCTGCACCATGTGTGACTGAGTCAAGGTGATGGTGCGGCGTGCTCTGTCCCGGGTGATCTGCAAGCCAAGGTAACTGCGCAGCTCACCCAGGTCAGTGCAGGTGTGTCTCTTCTGCAGCTCCGACTTCACACGAGCGAGTGCCTCAGTGTCAGCAGTAGCAAAGACCAAGTCGTCGACGTACACGAGGATGTAAAACGGCGGCAGCGACGTGTCTGTGCGCAGGAACAGTGACGGGTCAGCAGTGGAAGGAGCAAACCCAAGGGCCGCAAGTGTAGTCCTCAGTGTGTCGTGCCACTCGCGCGGCGCCTGGCGGAGACCGTAGACTGGCCGCCGAAGGCTCCACTGGGTACCAGGAGGGAACGACCCAGTGAAGCCAGGAGGGCGGCGCAGCCAGATCTCCTCGTGCAGGGTGCCCTGCAAGAAAGCTGTGCTGAAGTCAAGAGAGTGCAGCTCGTAGTCACGCTGAGCAGCAACGTGCAGCAACACCCGAAGAGTGGTCATCTTCGGGGTGGGGGAGAAGGTCTGAAAGAAGTCAACTCCCTGTCGCTGACTGAAACCTCTAGCAACGTAACGAGCCTTGAAGACAGGCGGAGAACCCAGCGGCCGCTTCACCCTAAAAATCCACATGCCATCGACGATGTTCGCCCCTGGAGGGGGAACCTCGTCGACGTAGGTGCATGTGGACTTCCAGGATGCCATCTCTGCGTCCATGGCTGTCTGCCACTGAGAGGAGTAGGGACCCGAGATCGCCTCTGCGTAAGAGCGCGGAGTGGGGATGTCTAGTGCATCCAGGTCTCCCTCAGGGGCAAGCAGCCAGGCCACAAGATGAGGTACAGCAGCCGCAAGAGAGTCAAAGTCCTCCTGCCTGTCCTCAAGGACGTCCGTGCGAAGAGCACACTCACCCCCGACGGACGGAGGACAGACAGACTCAGACTCAGCAACAAGACTAGCAGTGTAGTCTAGACGACAGACAGCAGCAAAGTCAACAAGCTCAGCGACCAGGGCAGACGCAGCAGCCGACTCAAAAGACGGGTCAGTGACAGCAGTGGCTAACAGACGCGTGACGGTAGGGTGCTCAGCACGAAAACGGTCAGACGCAGGGTCCGGAACGTCAGGCAAAGAAGACGCAGGAGGAGACGGCAGAGGAACCGACTGTGGTACAGAGGAGGGACGACGGACGACAAGGCGAGAACCAGCAACAGGCGGCGAACGCTGGTGCGAGACGCGGCGAGCGGAACGACCAGAACGAACAGGCGAGACAGGACGCGACGCAGGCTCACGACGCTCAGTAAGACCCCCTGACTGCTCAGTGTAAGGAGAAGGAGCAGGCAAGGGCGAGCCAGGCAGTAACGGAAGACCAGTAGAAGACGGAAGACTAAGAACCTGGCGAAGGACAGAGTCAGACGGCGGCAGAGACGACGGCGACGGCGGAGCGAAGAACAGGCGCGACTGTACAGTACCGCCAGCACCAGCAGCTCCAGCACCTCCAGCGACACCACCACCCCCAGTGTCAGCTCCTCCAGGACTGTCCCCACTAGCAGCAGCACCCCCAGAACCAGCACCTCCAGTCCCAGGGTCTCCAGACGCAGCGTCCCCAGCGGTAGCACCCTCAGACACAGCACCACCAGCCCCAGCAGCTCGAGTACCAGCGGTACGAGCACCTCCGGGACCAGCGACGGAAGTTCCTCCAGGAGACAACGAACCAGCACCACTCTCAGCTCCAGGGGCGGCAGTAGAGGCACCACCAGCAGTAGAGCCCGGAGCTCCAGGAGGGCGACGCTGACGGCGACCGAACCAGTCGTGCAGCTGCTGGGAGGTGAGAGGAACACGCGAACGAAGGCGGCCAGTCCAGGGCGCAGCCTCCACTGGCGACGCACCCCCAGACTCAGCACCCCCAGACGCAGCACACCCAGACCCCTCAAGCACAGGCTCAGCTCCCTCAGACGGAGCACCGCGACAACGAGCAGAACCAGCTCCTCCAGTACCTCCAGCTCCAGTGTCTCCAGCTCCAGTGGCACCAGGCTCAGGACCTCCAGAACAACCAGCTCCGGCAGCCGCAGTACCTCCAGGACTAGCACCCCCAGAACTAGCAGCTGTAGTACCGCCAGAACCTCCAGCACCAGTGTCCCCAGTCTCAGCGCCTCCAGCTCCAGCTGCACCACGCGGAAGGCGAAAGCGCCGGACGTACCACTCACGGAGCTGCCACTGTGTGAGAGGCTCCCGGAGAGGCGACTCAACACCCTGAGCACCCCCAGACGCAGCAACTCGAGGCACAGCACCCCCAGGCCCCGCACCCACGGTCCTAGCACCCCCAGGCTCCGCACCCTCAGGCTCAGCACCCCCAGGCTCTGCACCCCCAGGCTCAGCACCCCAAGGCTCAGCACCCCCAGGCACAGCACCCCCAGGCTCAGCAACCCTAGCAGCACCACCCGCAGCAGCACCTGAGTCACCTGTGACCTCGACAGGCTCAGCGACGGGAGGAGGGTCTACCTGAGAGACACCTGAAGGAGCAGGACCCTGAGGGGGAAGGGGGTCTACCGGAGGGGGACCTGGAGCAAGGAAAAGCGGCGGGGGGGGGGAGGGGGGCAGTGCGGTAGGGGAAGAGACGGTAAAAAGGAACCGACTCGTCAAAGGTGACGTCCTGAGAGGCGAAGACCCGGCGCGAGGTGGGGTGGTAAAACTGCCAGCCTCGCGCGTCAGGGACAAAGCCAAGGAAGACACAGGGAAGTGTGCGGGAGGAGAGCTTGTCCGCGGAAGTATCGCGGACAAGGGCACGAGAACCCCACACCCGGAAGCGCGACGCATCGCCGACCTCCCCCGTCCAACGCAGTTTGGGCCAGGTCTCCGGCAAGGAGACACGGGGCCAGAGGTTGAGCTGATGCACCGCGTACCGGACAGCAAACGGCCACAGAAAATGGGGAGCCGCCGCATGAACCAAGGAGGTACGAGCGACCTCCATGACCAGGCCAATGCGGCGCTCTGCAACCCCATTCTGCTGCGGGGAGTCCGGAAGCGTGAAGGACTGCTCGATGCCCTCCGCCTGACAGAAGGCCCTCAAGAGGTCAGAGGAGAACTCACCACCTCTGTCAGAGTGCCGACGCATGACAGGAAGCTCTGTCCTGAACCGGCGGCGGAGCTGGAGACGAACTGTGCGGATCCAAGGGATCAGAACAGTAGGGACCTCACCCTTGGTGCGCAAGGGGAAGACCGTGGTGTAACGCGAGTAGTCGTCGACAACCAGCAGAAAGTACCGCTCACCGCCCTGTCCACGGACGCGGGCTGGGCCCCACACGTCCAGGTGGAGGGTCTGCAGAGGAGCCTCGGTCGGGGGAAACGAGGAGGAGTGAGGAGCGGCGCGCTGCCGCCCCTCGACGCAAGGAAGGCAAGGCGGCGCAGGCGAGGCAGGGAGGGGAGGGAGAGACCGGGGAAGACCGGACACAAGGTGACGACGGTGCATGCCACGAAGGCGTGACAAGGAGGGGTGACCCAGGCGGTGGTGCCAGAGAAGGGTCTGGTGCGACAGGGAGCGACACTCACAGGGGTGGGCTACTAGACCTGACGCAGACACCTGACCAACAGCAGCGACCTGAGGAGACACAGTGGTCAGTGTGTAGAGACTCGACCCCGGCTGACGAGTGAACGTAGCCAGGTGACGGCCAGTCCTGGAGCACGTGAGGATCGCCACACGCTGTCCTCCAGGGGTGAAGGTGTCAACCCAGTGATCCTGGATAACAGCGTTGCTCACCAAGTTCGTAGAGAACGAGGGGAGGTGGAAACCCGACAACGAGCCAGACGGAACCGCCGGACAGGGAAGCACAGTGGTAGACCGTGCAAGAACTGGACCCCCGGAGGGGTCAGCCAGGGAGACTGGAACTGGTGCAGGGAGGGGAGTGAGCTCAGTACTGTCACGAAAGAAGCAGCGGGAAGCACCTGAGTCAAGCGTGAAGGTGTGCAAGGCCTCAGCGAGCGCAGTATCTGAGAGCGCAGACTCGCTAGCAGGAGGGGGTGTACCGAAGGGAGTAGCCTCGGAAGGCACAGTACCTGAGAGAGCAGACTCGCTGGTACCTAGGGCAGTGGGCTCTATACCTGGGTCGTCTGAGGACGCTGCTGCTGCTGAGAGGTCTGGCCCGAGCTGGGGCCAACACTCCGACCACCACCGCCGCCACTACCGCCGCTCCGACCGCCACCGCCGCCGCCGCCACCGCCACCACTGCCACCGCCGCTGCCACCGCCGCCACCGCTGCCACCACTCCCGCCGCCGCCCCCGCCCCCACCGCTGCCTCCACTCCCACCAGCACTCCCGCCACCGCTCCCTCCAGCACCGCCTCCCCCCCCACCTCCCCCACCCCCTCCCCCCCCAGCGCCACCCCCGCCACCCTTGCCCCCCTTGCCCTTGCCGGTGCGGCGCCTCCCACCAGGAGCAGAAGCAGCGCCAGCAGACTCAGCACCAAGGAGGTCAACAGCAGCAGCAGTAGCGTAGGAGGGAGCGAGGGGAGAGGGAGAACACCCCTCAAAGATGGGGGTGCGAGGAGCGCCACGAGCAGCACCTACAGCTACAATGCTCTTCTCGGCTGCTAGCAGCTTCTCCTCTAGGAGGGCGACTGTGAGCTCAGTGGGACAGCGGGCAAGGAAGTAGTCTCGGACTGAGCTGAGGGTGTCAGGGAGACGGGTGACTATGAAATGGAGCGTCCAGTACAGTGGAGGGGGGTTCTTAGCGCAGAACTCGGTGGGAAGGGCGGCACGCAGGCGAGCGTCACTAGTGCGAAGGTGGGTGATGAGATCGGCGACTGTAGCAAAGGTGGACAGCTCAGGGAACAGGTAAGGCAGCATGAGGCGGCTAAGCTCGGCTGTGGCAGGTGAGGAGTAGCGAGCAACGACAGCGTCGTACAGGGCCTTAGCGGTTTTGCAGTCGCCAAAGTGCTCTAGCTCAGCGAACGGCAGGTGACTGCGAATAGCCAGGCGAGCTGCAGCGTCACGAGTCTGCCACTGGGAACGTACACTAAGCTCGGCTGTGGCAGCAGGAGCAGCGGCAGCACCAGACGCGTAGTCATAGAGGGAGACGTGGTCCGTGCTATTGCTCATAAGATACAACTGCAGGTCGTCGAGCCAGGAAGTGAACTGCACGGGACGGCCCTCAGCATCGAAGGAAAGAACGCGAATAGAGGCCATAGCTCAGGCGTGAGGGCACAGCAGAGCAGCGGCAGCAGCAGAGGGGACGTGCTAGAGCGAAGCTAGCAGCCGCAGCAGGAGCAAGCGGCGGTGCACGGGCAGGGAGCAGCAGGCGAGGCGAGCGGCGCACGCGGGTGCGTGGGGCCGCGGGGCTGCGCGCGTAGGGGAGAAGGGGGGGGGCGCGGCAGCAGCAGGGCTGGCGGCGGGCGGGTAGGGCTACGGGCGGGCAGCGCGACGGGCGGTCAGCCGGGCGGGCAGCGCGGCGGACAGCGCGACGGGCGGGCGACGCGGCAGGCAGCGCGACGGCGGGCAGCGCGGCGGGCAGGGCGACGGGCGGGCAGCGCGGCGGGCAGCGCGGCGGGCGGGCAGCGCGGCGTGCAGCGCGACGGGCAGGCAGCGCGGCGGGCGTGCAGCGCAGCGGGCTGCGCGACGGGCGGGCGACGCGGCAGGCAGCGCGACGGCGGGCAGCGCGGCGGGCAGCGCGACGGGCGGGCAGCGAGGGCGCACGAGGGCGCTAACGAGGGGCGCACGAGGGCGCTAACTAGGGCGCGCGAGGGCGCAGTAAGGGCGCGCGAGGGCGCTAACGAGGGCGCGCGAGGGCGCTAACGAGGGCGCACGAGGGCGCAGCTAGGGCGCAACGAGGGCGCATCGAGGGCGCGGGGTAGCGTGGTAACCGCATGCGTGCGATGGTGGGCCCTAAAAAAAAGATCGGTAGGTCCTAGGGACCTCCTGCTCTGAAACCATGTCAAGATTCTAGGCAAGAATGAATGCATTGAAAGGAGAACAAGAGTACAAGTACCTAACCCTAATGGGGTTGTACCCTATATTGTCTACCCCACTACAGCCTACCAACACATTATAATTTAACAGACACCACACGGATTCTGTTCTGATTCGCGTTAGGAAAGTTTCGGTAAAAGGGTAGTGTACACCATACCCTGATTCCGTCAGGCTAACCTAAAAACCAATCAGGGTGAAATAAAACATGCTCTTTTAAGAGAAGGGTAACTATCTCGCATTCCTGATTTTGGGCGGGTAATCCTGAAAAAACGGCCGACCCCCAGGGTAATCAGGGCGTTTTACCCTGATATTTTGGGCACGGTCCGTGACAGCCTCTACAAGTTGGCCCATCGCCCCAAAGCATGAGCTATTAATGAACAATAAGCTTAAATTCAACTCTTGTGCCTATCTTACGAAGCATAAAATACAAGACTGTCTAACCAGATTGCATCAAGCGTTTCTGTTTCAAAATCTGGGCTCCCACACAGCGTTGCAAGCTTGCTCGTCAATCTTCACTTTCCTATGGGGTCAAGAGGAAGAGCGCCTCAAAGAGCGCCAGCAGGTCTGCTGGCCTCAGCCGCTCAGGCCTCTCTCTCTATCCCCTTGGAGAAATCCCGCCCCACCACCTTCTCCACCATTGCACGCGGCACCCTGCACCTTAATGTCAAGAATGAAAGTGTTGGTTCATTGATGTGGGTTGGGGTACATATAGCAAACCCTAACATTTGTACCCCCTAAGACAAACCTCACTACAGGCTACAACATTTGACACACCCCCATAGCCTAAGTGAGGGTGTCAAACAAAACCAAAAGAGTACGGTCACAAGACCAGTCTCAAAGAAGCAAAGCTCAGGGTGGATCACAACGTCACCACACTCCGAGCAAAGCATCGGGGGCCACAAGGCCAGTCCAAGAGTTCACAAAGGTGTACGTCAAGCGTACAAGCAAAGCAAACAGTAAACTCAAGCCTACGCAAGACGAGAACCAGTGTCAACAAGACCTAACTGCACACAACACCTCTGGTGGTCACAAGGCGGAAGCGCCTTGGTGAAGATGTCTGCAGTGTTGGCCTCGGACTCCACAAACTCAAAGAGAGCCTATCCACGTCTCTGCAACTCTCGCAGAAGAAAGTACTTAACATTAATGTGCTTCACTCTGCTCTCCAGTCGCGGCTCTCGACAGAGGAGAATCGACGCCTTGTTGTCAGTGAACAAGGTCGGTGCAGAGCTCGACCGCACACCAATGTCGGCGAGCAAGAAGGTCAACCAACGCAGCTCCTGTGCCGCCATGGCACCAGCGTAGATCTCAGCCTCAGCTGTAGAGGTCGAGACCAAAGAGGAGCGCGTGGACCGCCAGGAAACAGCTCCAGAACCCAGGCTGAAACAGTACCCCTGAGTAGACCTGTGAGTCTCAGCGTCGTCAGCGTAAGAGGAGTCACAGTGACCAGTAAGTACGACAGACTGCTGCCCTCCAAGAACTAACCCCCACGCCTGATGTCGTCGCTAGGTACTTCGCCACCCTCACAGCTGCCGTCCAGTGAACAGGACGGTGTCTCCCTGGCGCAACAAAGCGAGCAAGGATGCTGAGAGGGAAGGCGAGGTCCGGGCGAGTACAAGTCATCAGGTACATGAGGCAGCCCACCAGCTCTGCGTAGGGACCACTAGGCTCAAACGGCTCGTCAGGAAAGGGTCCAATGAGTACGTGGTCAACAGCAAGAGGTGTGCGCTCAACTGTGGAGTTATGAAGGCCGAACCGCTGAAGGACCTGCTACACCATGTGTGACTGAGAGAGTGTGATGGTGCGAGCAGCTCTGTCCCTGGTGATCTGCAGGCCAAGGTAGTGACGCAGCTCACCCAAGTCAGTGCACGTGTGTCTCTTCTGCAGTTCAGACTTCACGTCTGCCAAGGCAACCCTGTCAGCAGTAGCGAAAACCAGGTCGTCGACGTAGACAAGAACAAAGAACGGTGTGGAGCCACGACGAACGAACAGTGACGAGTTCGCAGAAGACGGCTGGAAACCAAGGTCAGACAGGGTAGAACGAAGAGTGTCGTGCCACTCACGAGGAGCCTGACGAAGACCGTAGACCGGTCGCCTCAGCCTCCACAGGGTCCCAGGAGGGAAAGTGCAAGTGAAGGCAGAGGGACGACGCAGCCAGACCTCCTCGTGTAGGCTACCCTGAAGAAAAGCAGTGGAGAAGTCGAGGGAGTGTAACTCGTAGTCTCTCTGTGCTGCTACGTGCAGTAACACCCGAAGAGTGGTCATCTTCGGGGTAGGCGCGAAGGTCTGAAAGAAGTCAACTCCCTCGCGCTGACTGAAACCTCTAGCCACGTAACGCGCCTTGAAGGCCGGAAGAGATCCCGGTGGCCGCTTCACCCTGTAGATCCACATGCCATCGACTACGTTCGCCCCAGGGAGGGGAACCTCGTCGACGCAGGTTCTTGTGGATCTGTAGGAGGCCATCTCTGCGTCCATGGCAGCTCTCCACTGAGAGGCCCAAGGCCCTGACACTGCCTCAGCGTAAGTGCGAGGAGTCGGTATGTCAAGGGCGTCGGGGTCTCCCTCAGGAGTGAGCAGCATGGCACAGAGATGAGGGGAAGCGGCTGCCAGGAACTCTAGCTCAAACTGCCTGTCCTCTAGGGCGTCACAGCCAAGGGCAGACTCACCCTTGATGGCCAGAGGACTGGTAGGAGGAGCAGCCACAAGACTGGTGGCGTAGTCAAGGCGGCGAGTAGAGGCAAACTCAGTGACTGCGGCAGTAAGAGCGGAGACAGAGGACAGAGAGGCACGAGGGTGGGTAACAAGAGAGGCGAGAACACGAGAGAGAACAGGACGGTACGTGCGGTACATTTGACACTTAACTCTTTCGACCCTGTTGACCCCCCTGACCCCCTTCCACCTCATCCATCCCTTCCACTCCATGGAGTGCGCCCACCATCCCACCCACAATAGCAGCATTTGAATCCGTCTCCCCCCCTCGCATTAGTGTGTCCTCAGTAGCATCCTCGTGGCTGGACCTCTGAAGTAGGTGGTAGAAGGCGAGAAGGAAGCCTCACTTCACCCACCCTATGAACTAAGTGCACTCCACTTGCAGCTCACACCCCGTGCCACGAGTCTGCTTGCTGGTGTCATTGCCTTGTGTGTCCGTCACACATGCCTGCGGCCCTTCTCCTCCATGCTCCACCCCTTTCTCCTCCCCCTGCTCTCCCCCCTTTCCCGCCTCTCCTGCCTTTCTCCTCCCACCTGCCCCCAGTATGCCCATCACTTGCTGCAGCGCCTGCTTCCCCCACCCACTCACAGACCCCCTACCCGCCTGCCTGCCCTGCACACCCCTCCTTGCGCTCCCTCTGCCCGCCGCTGCACCAGCCCCACTCGCTGCCCCGCTCTCCTCCCCACCCCCCTCCGCTGCCACTGCCAACCGCACGTGCTCCAGCCACTCAGCCACCATCTCAGCCCCTCCCTTTTTCCCTCCGCCCAACGCCCACATCGCACCTCCCCTTTTCCTTTCCCTCGCAGCCCACATCGCAGCCTCCTCAAACGTGCCCGCCGCATCCCCATGGTGGTTGATGAGGTGCGCAATGGCTATACAGTAAGCAGCGGAGGCGGTGCGGCACGTGGGGTTGGTGCGTGAGAGCGACGCATCCATAGCAGCGCACTGCGCAACACTGTGCGGCTCGAAGCACTACCGGCACCGTCACCACTCCCGTCACCACTCCCACCACCACCACCACCACCACCACCACCACCACCACCACCACCACCACCACCACCACCACCACCACCACCACCACCACCACCACCACCACCACCACCACCACCACCACCACCACCACCACCACCACCACTCCATCTGGGGCCCTCAGTAGCAGCTGTAGCAGCGGCTACTACGGCAAGACTTACGGCAGCAGCTTCCGTGGTGATCAAATTAGCGACAACAATGGCTCTCTCTTGACTATCACCAGCAGCAGCAACAGCAACAGCAGCAGCAGCTGTGAGGATCTAGGATCGAGCTCAGAAAAGAGAGTTTGAATTGAATGATCACATGGGTACAACACGAGGCTATATATAGGCTCGACACAAGGGGCAGTAACCAGGTGTTACGCGAAGGTTCTGGGGGTCGCGAAGCGTCCCGAACAGACCCTTCCCGAATTCGGTAGAAGGCAATTCGGTGGCAACCGAATAGCCCAGAATTCGGTGTACGCAACCTAGCTCGGTGCTATAACTATAATAAAATATAGGAAAGCACCTAGCCTAGGAAATCAAGCAATTCATGCATGCATAAAATAAACCTAAGCTAGCAATAGCGTAATAAGATAAAAGAAAGCATGCATAGCTGGCATAAGCCGTCGTACTCTCACACGTCCCCCCCTCAAAGCTGGGTGGCGTGAGATACACCCTGCTTGACAAGATAGTCCTTGAGAGCACGGCGTGCGTTGCCCATATCAGCTTCTGCAACCCAACTTTCCTCAGTGGGGTCGTATCCTTTCCAGCGTATCAGGAACTCGAGGGTCTTGCCGCCGCGGCGCCGATGAGTGAGAACGCGCTCGATCTCGTACTCTGGTTCATCCTGCACAAGAACAGGTGGAGGTGGCGGTAGCTGCCATCCCTGGAACTGTTGGTTGGGGTCCTTGTAGGGTTTCAGTTTCTGAACATGGAAAGCATTGTGAAGCTTCCACGTATCTGGTAAGCGCAAGCGGAATGTAACTGGTGTCACCTGTGCCTCCATGAGAAAAGGACCACAGAAGCGAGGCCAGAGTTCAGATGGTAGGTGAGACAGGTTCAAGTTGCGCGTGTCGAGAAGCACCTGATCTCCGACTGCTACTGAGTGATCTCGTCGTTGGCGATCGGCATACTGCTTCTGGGAGTTCTGCATCGTGGTGAGACGTCGCTAATTCTTCTCGCATACCTGCTGCATGGTGGTGACGAAGTCGTGTGCGGCTTGGACGCATGCCGGTGTGGTTGGCTGCTGTGGTGTGAGTGGTTCCCGTCCGTAACACAGGAAGAAAGGGGTTTTCCCTGTGGCCGCATGCGAGGCGTTGTTGTAAGCAAACTCTAAGGTCGGTAACTGTGTGTCCCAGTGGCTGATGTCGTCCTTACAAGCTGTACGCAGTAACTATTCAACCACCTGATTGAGTCGCTCCGTCTGTCCGTCAGTCTGGGGATGGTATGCTGAAGACATGGCAAGCTTGGTCCCCAGCAGTCCCATAAGCTCCTTCCAGAACTTACTTGTGAATTTTGGGTCTCTGTCTGAGATAAGTGTAGCGGGGATGCCGTGGATGGTGATGATGCGGTCGAAGAAGAGGCGAGCAGTTGCTTCAGCTGTAGCTGTGGCGTTGGTCGGTATGAAATGACCCATTTTGGAGAACTTATCGATTACTACGAGGATGGAATCGTGTCCCCGTGAGGTCGAGGGAAGTCCTGTGATGAAGTCGAGGCTAACGACCTGCCATGGCTGCTCCGGTACGGGTAGAGGTTGAAGTAACCCTGCTTTTTTCTGCTTGCTACTCTTCATCCGCTGACACGTGTCGCATGAGGTGACGAACTGCTGCACGTCTGCTGCCATCCGGGGCCAGTAGTAATACTTTGCTATTCCCGTTAACGTCTTGTTGCTCCCGAAATGTCCCGCGTAAGGTACGTCATGAAATTCCTCTAATAGGATCTGCCGTAGCGGGGCGTAATTCGGTACCCAAATCTTTCCTGAACCCTTCCTTACCGCTAAGTCTTTCTCCCACTGTAACAGCTTCTGTTTCTCTGCCGTTGCGATCTCGCCGTCCACGGAGTACCCATGTTGGAATAGACCCTTGAGCAGAGGGTTCATTCCGTCGAGCTGGATGCCTGCTACATGACCGGGGCGGCTCAACGTGTCGGCTTTGTTGTGGAGCCCGGGTTTGTAGACGATGTCGTAGTGGAAGTGAGTTTCCAAGAAATCCACCCACCGCACCTGTCGTCGTGAGAGCGTCGGCTGCGACTTCAGGTACTTAAGACTGCAGTGGTCAGTGTATACTGTGGTCTTGGCTCCCTCTAGGTAACACCTCCACGCCTTGAAGGCTACGACTATAGCTAAGGCTTCCTTGTCGTGAATGGGGTAGTTCAGTTCTGCTCCGTGTAACTTCTTACTGAGGTAGGCGATAGGCTGTAAACCGTTCCCGTGATCCTGCATCAGTACTGCTCCAACTGCCTGGTCACTAGCGTCCGCTTCAACTACGTAGTCCTTTTCAGGGTCCGGTAGGATGAGTACTGGCGCTGTGGTCAGTGCTGTCTGTAGCTGTTCCATGGCTTGCAGATGAGGAGTATCCCATCTGAAGGGCGTATCCTTTTTCAGAAGGTCTGTCTTAGCGTACTGCGGCACAAACCTGTTGTAGTAGTTGGCGAAGCCGAGGAACTGCTGTAACTCCTTCACGTTCTTCGGAACTTTCCACTTTTTAACGACTTCGATCTTCCGCGGGTCCACGTGTACGCCCTCGGCACTCACCATGTGCCCGAGAAACTGCACCTTCTTCAGGGCGAAGTCGCTCTTCGACAGCTTCACGTAGAACTTATTTTCCCGCAGGATCTCGAACACCTTCCGCAGATGCTCCACGTGCTCCTTCATGTTCTTGGAGTAGATGAGGATATCGTCCAGGTACACTACTACGCATTCGTCCAGCAGGGGCCGGAGGATGTGGTTCATCTCTGCCTGGAACGTCGCGGGTGCGTTGCAGAGTCCGAACGGCATCACCAAGTATTCGTAGGAGCCGTATCTTGTACGGAACGCCGTCTTGTGGATCGAGTTGCCCGCCGTCTTGATCTGCCAGTAACCCGACCGTAGGTCCAGCTTCGAGAAAACTGTTGCACCACGCAGTTGGTCCAGTAAGTCGTCGATGCGCGGTATGGGGTATTTATTTTTAACTGTCTGTTTGTTCAGTGCGCGGTAGTCGATGCACATCCGTAAACTGCCGTCTGGTTTAGGAGTGAAGAGAACTGGTGCTCCGTAGGGAGAGGGGGATGGGCGAATCAGTTGTCTGAACAGCAGACTCTGAACCCTCAGCGCCAGCACCCTCAGCAGCTCCAGCGCCACCAGCACCAGGACCTCCAGCAGCTCCAGAACCTCCAGCGCTCGCACCCTCAGCAGCCCCAGAACCACCAGCTCCAGCGCCACCAGCACCAGGACCTCCAGCAGCTCCAGAACCTCCAGCGCCCGCACCCTCAGCAGCCCCAGAACCACCAGCTCCAGCACCTCCAGACCCCTCACACGCAGGCTCAGCACCTCCAGGCTCCACACTCTCAAGCTCCGCACCCCCAGGCTCAGCACCCCCAGAAGTAGCACCCCGAGCAGGACCACCCCCAGTAGGACCTGAGTCACCAGTGACCTCAACCGGCGCAGGGAAGGGAGGAGGGTCTACCTGAGACACACCTGAAGGAGCAGGACCGGGAGCGGGGAGGGGGTCTACCTGGGGAGCACCTGGAGCGAGGAAGAGCGGCGGGGGAGGGAGAGGGGCAGTGCGGTAGGGGAAGAGACGGTAAAAGGGAACCGACTCATCGAACGTGACGTCCTGAGACGCAAAGACACGGCGCGAGGTGGGGTGGTAAAACTGCCAACCAGGCGCGTCAGAGACAAAGCCAAGGAAGACACAGGGAACAGCACGGGCGAAGAGCTTGTCCGCGGTGGTATCGCGGACAAAGGCACGAGCACCCCAGACCCGGAAACGCGACGCATCGCCAACCTTCCCCGTCCACAGCAGCGTGGGCGAGGTCTCTGGCAAGGAGACACGGGGCCAGAGGTTGAGCTGATGCGCGGCGTACCGGACCGCAAACGACCACAGAAAATGGGGGGCAGCCGCATGGATCATGGAGGTACGAGCGACATCCATGACTAAGCCAATGCGGCGCTCAGCAACCCCATTCTGCTGCGGAGAGGCCGGAAGCGTGAACGACTGGGTGATGCCGTGCTCCGCACAGAAGGCTGCCAAGAGGTCTGAGGAGAACTCACCACCTCTATCAGAGTGCAGACGCAGGACGGGAAACTCCGTCCCGAACCGCTCGCGGAGCTGGAGACGAGCAGCGCGGATCCAAGGGATCAAAACAGCAGGGACCTCCCCCTTGCTGCGCAGGGGAAAGACCGTGGTGTAACGCGTGTAGTCGTCAACAACCAGCAGGAAGTACCGCTCGTGGCCCTGTCCACGGACGCGGGCTGGGCCCCACACGTCCAGGTGGAGAGTCTGCAGGGGAGCCTCTGTGGGAGGGAACGAGGAGGAGTGAGGAGCGGCGCGCTGCCGCCCCTCGACGCAAGGAATGCAGGGCGGCGCAAGCGAGGGAGGCAGGGCAGGCAAAGACCTGGGCAGACCAGAAACCAGGAAGCGAGAGTGCATGCCACGAAGGCGCTGCACCGAGGGGTGACCAAGGCGGTGGTGCCACAGGAGGGTCTGGTGCGACAAAGCGCGACACTCGCAGGGGGCCGTCGGCTGACCTGACGCAGACGCAGACGCAGCTACCTGAGGGGACTCAGTGGTCAGGGTGTACAGACTCGAGCCAGGCGCACGGGAAAACGTGGCCAGGTGTCGGCCGGTCCGAGCACACGTACAGTGAGTCACTCGCTGACTCGCAGGAGTGAACTGGTGCACCCCCCTATCCTGGAGGTCAGCTCCACTCACCAAGTTCGTAGAGAACGAGGGGAGGTAAAGACCTGACAGCAAGCCAGACGGGGCGGCCGGACACGGCAGAACCGTGGAGTAGTGGGCAAGGACTGGACCCCCGGAGGGGTCCGCCAGGGAGACTGGAACCGGCCGACTAAGCGGCGTGAGTGTGGTACAGTCGCGAAAGAAGGAGCGGGAAGCACCTGAGTCAAGCGTGAAGGTGTACAAGGCCGCAGCAGGCGCAGAACCAGAGAGAGCAGACTCACTAGCACCTGGAGCAGGAGACGTACCAGCACCTAGAGCAGCAGCCTCACCAGCACCCAGAGGAGGAGACGCACGAGCACCTAGAGCAGCAGCCTCACCAGTACCGGGAGCAGCAGGTGCTATACCA